ATCAGCCTCCTGAGTAGCTAGGAGTAGCAAGCATGAGCCACCTTCCCCAGCCTCTAATACTGTTCTTAGTATCTAAATGTGGTATGCCCTGGAATTATTATCAAACCTCTCTGTGCCTCAGTTCCATCATCTGTAAATGGGGCATAATAGCCTTCCCCCTTCTAAAACTGTGACACAAAATTCTTTCCATATGCTTACTACCTGGACACATAGGCAACATCTAGATAAACTTTTGTCTTTATTGAGATGCCTCATCCTTAGGAGAGATTAAGGAAAACCTTAATACCAACAAGGTTCAATGGAGCCTGATCAACTAGAAATGACCCTTTGCCCCAGCTCAGCAGTAGTCCCCAGGAATCAGCAGCTTCTGCATTCCTATCAGTTGCATGCTAGGATGGAGTTTGTTTTGAGGTTGGCCAGAGGTTACGGGTGTAGATGACCAATGTCCTTAAGTACAATTCATTGAGACATTTGATTCACAAACGTTGTTCTGGAACTTTGCACTCTGATTCATGATTTTGCTGCTAGTCTAAGCAGCAAAGCTGCTTCAGTGTGACACACTCACTAATTCATAAACAAGAATAAGCTGAGCCTCTTAGCTCAGCTGTTCTGCAAATGCAACTTGAGGGAAAATAGTGGGCCTTTATTAAACCTTCTCTATAATCAAGTGCAAATTGTCCTTTAGAATAGTACTTTTCTTTATAAATCCCAGGTCTGATATGTGGTAATTTTTAAAAGCCCGATAAAGTGTGACTGTATTCTAAGCATCCTTTCTTTTCTCTTCTTTCTTTCCTTCCTCTCTCTTTTCTGCTTTGTTCTTTTTTTCTGTTGGTTGTGGAACTTGAACTTGGGGCCTGGAACCACAGCTCCACTTCCTGCTTTTTTTGGTGGTTAATTGGAGATAAAAGTCTCACAGGGGCTGGGAAGGTGGCTCAGTGGTAGAGCGCTTGCCTTGCATGCCTGAGGCCCTGGGTTCGATTCCTCAGCACCACATAAGCAAAAAGAAAAAAGCTGGAAGTGGTGCTGTGGCTCAAGTGGTAGAGCGCTAGCCTTGAGCTGAAGAGCTGAAGGACAGTGCCCAGGCCAAGTTCAAGACCCAGGACTGGACCAAAAAAAAAAAAAAAAATCTCACAGACTGTCCTGTCCAGGCTAGTTTTGAGCTGCAATCCTCAGATCTCAGCCTCCTGAGAAGCTAGGAACCACCAGTGAACCTTGTTCTGTCTCCCCTCCCCCACCCCCACCTTACCCAGAACTGGGGCTTGAACTCTTCTTATGCTTTCACTGGACTTTGGCTCCTCTCTCTAAAAGGAGATATCTAAATCTGCACAATGGAGCTGGACACAGTGGCTCATGTTTGTAATCCTAGCTACTCAGGAGAATGAGATCTGAGGATTGCAGTGTGAAGCCAGCATCTCAGTCTCCACCTTCCCCCTTCTCCTTCCATCCCAGCAGTGAGACTCCTATCTCCAGTTATCCAACAAAAAACCAGAAGTATAAATGTGCAGCTCAAGTGGTAGAGTGCTATAGCCTCGAACTCTAAGGCTCAAAGACAGTGCTTATGCCCTGAGTTCAAGCTCTGGCACAATAAACAAATAAATCTATCTTCTCCTTTGAAATGATTAAACTTTTAAATAGATAATCATATTTAGATGAGATGCTTAGCAGAAAAGAGAACAGCCTAAAGCTCAGAGCTTGTCCTTCTGTTTTGGGTAGGCCCAGAAACATGTCCATATTTTAGAATAATAAGTAACACCAATCTTGGCCACTTAGAGCCATTGTCTAAAGATGGCAATTGGCGTGATCTTGTATATTTCCCCAGCTCGGAAAGAATAAAGGCAGCAATTAATAGCCACTGTAGTAGGAAGACCCCCTACTCGGGCAGGCAAGCCCCCCTAGTCGACCAGAGTGACAGAGCCCACCGCAACAAAGTTGTTAACAAAGAAGCAACTGAGAAGGTTCCTACACTGACCAGCCAGGGTCACAGCCACAGGCTCGGGAGCTGATACTGCAGCCCCAAATGGCACACCTACTTTGGTTTTTAAAGGCAAAATTCACAAGGTCAAGCCTGGTCATGCAGGTGACCAATGAGATTGTCACACACAAAAGATTGCACAGTCATACCAGAGCACACACAGGTGGCCAATGAGGTTCCAATTTGTCACATAATGGCTGTTTAAACCAGCCTATCACTTTTGGTTTAAATGACTCACAAATTCAGCGTGGGTAAGGTGGAGCTTATGGTAAGCACTCACAAAAGGCAGAGTTATGGTAAGCTCAAGCTCGTGATGTTGCCAGTTTGAGCCAGATTATAACCTATCTGTTTTATCGTTCAGTGCTTACTGAACAATGAAGGTGGGTTCGGTTGTTAAGGGGAGAGAGACCTAGAGGCATTCTTTCCATTCCAGGAACTGGTCTGGTTGGAGCCAAGGTCTACTAGTTAACCTTGTTTAAAGTTTTGTTTTTTTTTTTAATCTAAAATCCCTAAAACAAAGGCAAAGCCTGGAAGTGAAAGAAGTAAGGATCTGAAACTAGCCTTCAGTGGAAGCAGGTGATTACCCCCAAGTGGTGTTGCCCCCCAGCGACCTAGAGCTAAGAGTTTCAGTTCCAATAATTTTCTGACCAACTGGGTCTTCAGAGCCCAGGGCGAGACATGCCATGCATTCTGTTGCTCCAGGTGTGACTCATAACTGTTTTTGGTCAAGCTATGGACCAAGGACATTTTTTTGTAAAGGTAAACCAATCGTATTTGCCCAGCTTAGCTTGCTTTAAATGTTAACCAATCATGTAATTTCTTATGTAAAAGTTCCTTAAAGTTGTTTGTTCAATAGTATAAAAACTGTGCTGATTTTATGCTTGGTGCCTCTTAGCGTCACCAGTTACCGAGTGCGTGGAGGACCAAGCTCAAGCCTGCACTAAACGACTCTCTGCTGTTTGCATTGGTTGTGGTCTCTGGTGGTCTATGAGGGGGCATCTGAAAATGGGGTACTTCATCTGGGGGCTCATCCGGGATACCCCCCCCCCAGAAGCCCTGTGCATCCACTATATTGGTCCTGAAAGGCCCACAGGCGCCTAGCCCATCAGTGCCCCCTCCTGTTCTAGCGGATGATGATCCAAATCTCCTCGATACTCTGCCCCCACCTTACCCTGTCCCACGACCCACGGCAGCACCCTTGGCAGGGGAAGCAGAAGCAATAGGGGGGGGGGGGGCGGTCAGAAGAGAAGAATTGGAGGGCCCTCGGGGCCGCACCCCTCGGGCCACCAGTCCTCACCCTCCGGATTCGACTGTGGCCTTGTTGCTCGGGCCACTCGATGACGTGGGAAACCCGATATTGGCCCTTCTCAACCAGTGATTTATACAATTGGAAGTCCCAAAATGGGAAGTATTCAGATAACCCTAAAGATCTGATTACTCTTTTAGACAGTGTAATGTTTACTCATCAGCCCACCTGGGATGACTGTCAGCAGCTGCTTCAGATCCTGTCCACCACTGAAGAAAGAGAGAGGATCTAGGAGAGACCCAGACACCTGATCAGTGAGTCGTCTAGCCAGCCGGTGAGTAGGGGTGCAGCTACTTCATGTTCAATGTTTCGTGTCTGACTTGCAAGTAGGGTTTTGTGACTGGCAAGAAATCTTGGCAGTTGCGCTATAAGGTAGCCAGCGGGCCGGTGAAAGATGTTTCCCAGACCCTTGGGGAAAGCCCTCCCAGTGGGGACCCTGGGCCTCCGCAGTCTTTGGCGGATTTCGCCTTTAGACAAGGAGTCCACCCTCCGCCACTGCGGGTTAAAGGTGGATTCAAGTGCAAATCTCGACGCGCATGCCGTCTCTGTCTCATCTGTGTTTGTCGTTCTAATTTGATGCCTCTTTTCCTTGTTCATTTTACTTTCATTTTCAGATCAGAGAGCATCCTGGAACCCCCCAAAATGGATGGCCAGTGGCTTATTTCACCCCACCTGCTCTCCCCTTTTAATCCTTTTGGAATTCCAGGACGACACCAGGAGCTGACTTATTCCCCGGAAGGCCTCTTTTTGTGCGCTGGAATCACCAACCTGCTCCGGCACCGAATTTATCAATTCCTTTTTGGGTGCCTCCTCCTTACAGTAATTTCCTTCTTAGATTGGGTTCTCGCCCACCCCACAATGGGACAGGGCCAGAGCAGTCAGAATACTCCTTTGACTCTCCTGACTAACCATTTCAAAGATGCTAAAGACAGGGCCCATAACTTAAGTCTTGAAATAAAAAAAAACAAGAGAGAGGATCTCCCGGAAACTAGTCCCAGGAGATGACAGGCAGCCCACCGTTAATCTCGATCTAATTAATGCCTCCTTTCCCTTGACTAGGCCCCCTCCTGATGATTGGGATTACAATAAGGCTTCAGGTAGGGAGAGGCTACGGGTCTACCGTCAGACTCTAATGGCGGGTCTCTGGGCAGCTGCTTGCAAGCCCACCAATTTGGCCAAAGTATATTCAATAATGCAGGAAAAGAATGAGGCCCCCTCTAGTTTTCTAGAAAGATTGATGGAAGCCTTTAGGCAGTACACCCCTATGGATCCAGGTGCCCCCAAAAATCAGGCCACAGTAGTTATGTCCTTTGTTAACCAGGTAGTCCTAGATATTAAAAGAAAATTACAAAAGTTTGAGGACTTGGAGGGCAAAAATATTCAGGACTTAGTGAGAATACCCCAAAAAGTATACAATAATAGAGACGCTCCAGAAGAAAAGCAAGTATGAGCTACCAGGGAAAATACTAGGATGTTAGTGGCAGCAGTTGAAAAGGGGTCAGGGGAACAAAGGGGGAAAAGGATGTACGGGGTGGGAGTGAAAAGACCCCAGAGACAGCCGGGTGGCCAGGGCCAAGGGCTAGGGCCAGACCAGTGCGCCTTTTGCCATGAGACAGGACATTGGGCTAAAGAATGTCCCAAAAGGGAAGAACAGAGATCTAGACGATGCCCCCCCTCCCCACCAGAGACCAATGTTAATGGCTGCTCCTCCAAAGGATGACTAGGGGCGGCGGGGTTTGGCTCCCCTCTCCGAACCCAGGGTAACTCTTAAGGTGGAGGGGACCCCGGTAGACTTTCTAGTTGACACAGGGGCTCAATATTCGGCCTTGATTGAGCCTAACGGAAAAGTTTCCAACAATGCTGCGTGGGTACAAGGAGTCACCAGAGTAAAGAAATACCCTTGGACCACTAAGAACTGTTGACCTTGGGACTGGGAGAGTGACTCATTCATTTTTAGTCATCCCCCGATAGCCCCTACCCACTTCTGGGTCGAGATTTGTTGACTAAGATGGGGCACAAATCCATTTTCACCCCGACGGCCCTCGGGTAACAGACTCATGAGGTCAGCCATTTCCTATGCTGACATTGGGATACAGACATCAATTACTGGCTGAGCAGGTACCCCGGGGCTTGGGCCGAAATTGGAGGGATGGGCCTGGCAAAACACCGACCAACCCTCTTTATTGAGTTAAAACCAGGGGCTGATCCTGTCAGGGTCCACCAATACCCCATGACCAAGAAAGCCCAACTGGGAATAACACCCCACATTCAGAGGCTATTAGAGCAGGGGTGCAACGCCCCTGCCGGTCTGCCTGGAACACCCCCCTGTTACCAGTCCAGAAACCCAACTCCAGCGAGTACCCGCCAGTACAAGACTTGAGGGAAGTAAAAAAGAGGGTCATGGACATTCACCCTACGGTACCTAACCCCTATACGCTCTTGAGTGCCTTAGCGCCATATAGGACCTGGTCCACTGTCTTGGATCTCAAGGACGCATTCTTCAGCCTGCCCTTGGCACCCAGGAGTCAAAATCTCTTCGCATTCGAATGGACTGACGCTGAAAAAGGCATTAATGGCCATCTGACTTGGACCCAGCTTCCCCAAGGATTCAAAAACTCACCAACCTTGTTCGATGAGGCTTTACATGAAGACTTGGGTGAGTTTCGGGAAAGCCACCCTAGCTTGACTTTACTACAATATGTGGATGCTGCAGAGACTCCGAAAGGCTGCACTCAGGGAACAGAGGACTTAGTCCAGACTTTGGGTAACCTGGGGTACTGGGCATCTGCAAAGAAAGCCCAAATTTGTAGACCAGAAGTGACATACCTGGGGTACCTTCTAAAAGAGGGGCAGTGTTGGCTGACTGAGGCAAGAAAAGAGACTGTCCTTAAAATACCGTGACCCGACTCCCCACGAGGGGTGAGGGAATTCCTGGGGTCCACCAGCTTCTGCTGCTTATGGATCCCGGGATTCGAGGAGTTGGCCAAACCCCTATACGAGCTGACCACAGAAAAACAACCTCTTCAATGGATAGAACAGGCAGAGCAGGCATTTCAAAGACTAAAAACGGCCCTGCTGTCTGCACCGGCCCTGGGGTTGCCGGACGTCTCGTCTCTAAGCCTTTCTACCTCTACGTGGACGAACATAAGTGGGTAGCAAAAGGGGTCCTGACACAGCAGCTGGGATCCTGGAAGCGACCAGTTGCATATATATATATATATATATATATATATATATATATATATATATATATCAAAAAAACTGGACCCAGTTGTGGCTGGATGGCCCCCATGTCTAAGGATAATAGCGGCCACTGCTCTCATGGTCAAAGATGCTGACAAACTGACCATGGGACAGGAGTTGCACGTGGCCGGCCCTCACGCGATAGTGTGCTGAAACAACCTCCTGACTGTTGGCTCAGCAATGTCCGCCTGACTCACTACCAAGGACTCTTACTCAACCCCCTCAGAATCATCTTTCAGGCACCCACCGCACTCAACCCTGCAACACTGTTGCCAGCCCCAGACCTGGAGGCTCCCCTCCATGACTGCGCACAGATCCTTGCGCAAGTTCATGGGACCAGAGATGATCTCAGCAACCAGCCACTGCTGAACACGGATGTCACCTGGTTCACTGATGGGAGCAGTTTCATCCGAGATGGCAAGAGGTACGCAGGTGCCGCGGTAGTCTCAGACCGAGGTGATCTGGGCCGAGCCCCTCCCCTCGGGAACTTTGGCTCAAAAGGCAGAACTCATAGCCCTCACTCAAGCTCTAACTTTGGGAAAAGACAAACGGCTGACAGTCTATACCGACAGCCGATACGCCTTCGCCACGGCCCATGTACATGGGGCCATTTATAAAGAGAGAGCACTATTAGCCACAGAGGGAAAAAACCATAAAAAATAAGGAAGAGATTCTTGCTCTCCTAGCATCACTGTGGCTACCCAAGAGACTGGCCATTGTCCACTGTCCTGGACATCAAAAGGCGAGAGACACAGTATCCAGGGGCAAAAACTACGCAGACAAAACAGCTCGGAAGGTGGCCTTTCAGGCGGTGCATGAATTGGCCCTTAACCTCCCAGATCCAGGGCCCCGAGAATTGCCCGAGGTACCCCAGTACACAGAGAGGATTTAAACTGGATAGAGGGATTGCGCCCATGGACACAGTGCATACAGGGATGGTGGTGGGACTATCAGGGAAAGATCATAGTTCCGGAGAAACTAGGCCACCAGATTTTACAAAAAATGCATCGAGCCACCCACCTGGGAGAAAGGAGAATGCAAGACCTGCTAAGTCACACGCAGCTTAAAATCAAGGGTGCCACTTCCATAATTCGGCGGATTGTAGCAGCTTGCAAGACATGCCAGCTCACTAATCCGGGACACAGCACAGTGGGCTCAGGTACTAGAGAAAGGGGGAACAGGCCAGGAGCGTACTGGGAGATAGATTGTACTGAAATAAAACCAGGAAAGTATGGGTACAAATACCTATTAGTGTTTGTAGATACCTTCTCAGGATGGGTGGAAGCTTTCCCCACAGAAAAGGAAACGGCTCAGATAGTAACCAAGAAGTTGGAGGGTATTCTGCCCGGGTATGGTTTCCCCATGATGATAGGATCAGACAATGGACCTGCCTTCATGTCCAAGGTAAGTTAGGGATTGGCTTCCATCTTCCGGGCGGATTGGAAATTACATTGTTCTTATCGCCCCCAAAGTTCAGGACAGGTAGAGAGGATGAATCGAACCTTAAAGGAGACTTTAACCAAATTGACCATGGAGACTGGCTTCACCACCTGGATTCATCATTGTCACGTCAAGTCGGCAGAGTCGGCCCACGTGAGAGACTACTTTGTAAAGGGACAGGAGCCTGAGTGGGAACTGATTCCAAGCCATAATTCTAACCCCCTAAAGTTAAAATTGCGTTTAAAGATGTGGCAGAGCCTAATGAGCTTAATAGGAATTTTTGCCGGCCCCTGGGTTTTGGCCACCCCCCAACCAATCGAAAGAATACATATGGTAACTCCGAAAAATTGATTCGGGGGAAATAATGCACAAAACCCAGGCCTTAGGTCATGACACCATTCAGTTTAATACAACTACCTGTGCCTTGGTCCCCGTAGACCCCCTGCTACACTTACAGCCCCCTTTACGTGTACCCTAGTGCGATTTCTTCTTGCAATCAACCCGGGCATCACTATTGTGCCCACTGGGGCTGTGAAACTATAGCGTCTGACTGGGGGGTCGATAATGATCCAGACATTACAGTGGGACGATTGCCCCAACAGGATGACGGACCGCCTACCACTACTGGAGGAGGAAAGAAAGCTGTTGGTACTTGGGGTGGTACAAAGACAGGGATGCCTCCCTGTCGGCTTACGTCTAGTGACATCTTCATGGGGAGCTATTTTATAGATAAGGGTCATAAACCCCGTACCCACATTTTTATTAGAATCAAGAAACCCTTAGACCCAAAGTGGGCCTATGGAAAGATTTGGGGCCTAAGATATTATGAACAGGGGACCGACCGAGGGGGTCAGATCACTATACAGAGGCTGGAAAGTACAGACTCCGCCCCAGCCCATTGGCCCCAACCCTGTACTAAACCCTGATCCCGGCCCACTCAACCCAGTAACCCAGCAATGGCATCCCCCTCTACCCATACATCCTTCCCTATTAGTCCCCCGCAAAAAAATGAAATTATTACACAGGATACAAAAAACTTTGTAGACCATTTCTTTCCCTTAATTAATGCCACTTTTGGCCTGCTAAACAAATCTAACCCTAATGCCACCTGCAGTTGCTGGTTTTGCTTAAGCCCACAGCCACCCTATTATATGGGAATAGCACAGACATTCTGATAGGAACAACAGGTCAGGACATAAAAAATAACAGCTCCCCTTCATCCTGTAAGTGGGGACAGACACCCAAAATAACTTTGGGAGACATACAAGGGCAAGCGCTATGTGTTACTACCCAAAAGGGAAAAACTGCTTCATGCTATTGTAGCCTTTGCAATAGAACCATTGTTCCAAAAACCTTTTCCACTTTCCTTGTTGCACCAAAGGGAGTATGGTTCACTTGTGCCTTAATCTAGCCTTGTTTAAAAATAGCTCCTGGGAAGAACTGTGTATACCAGCCTATATTATACCTAAGGTGGAATACCTTGAAGACACTGACGAGCCACTCAGCACGGTTCAGGGCCTCAGACAGAACTGGCGAGCAGTCCCCATGTTGATTTTGGTACTAGTAGCAGGGCGCATAGCAGCCTCCACGGCGGTTGGGATAACTGCTCTAGTACAGACCTCTGAATTTTCCTCTCTAGCAGGTCAAATAGATTCTGATCTTCAGGAAGTGCATAAAAACATTGAACAGCTGACGGAGTCTCTAAAGTCACTGGCTGAGGTGGCACTTCAAAATAGGCGAGGGCTGGATTTATTGTTCCTAGAGAAAGGGGGGCTATGCATAGTCCTAGGGGAAGAGTGTTGTTTCTGGGCTAACCAGAAAGGGCCAATTAAAAACAGCCTTGCGGGTAGCGCTCAAGATGGCGACGGGGCAGTAGGGAAACGCCACAGCTCTCTCCAACCAAAAAGAGAGTTCGAGTTCCAACCTTTAATCTCCCCAAGAGACCGACAACAACAAAAAGACGAACACTCAGAGAAAAACCAGAGGTGGAAAATAACAAAAAAAGAAAGAGAGGAAAAGAAGAATTTCAGAACAGAGAAGAGCGAAGACCCCTCCCCCAACCTTTACTGGCCGCGCGGCAGTGCGCCAAGCCGCCGCCAGCCGGCCCGGCGGGGGCTGCCGGAGCCACAGAGACACAGGGGGCTGCTTGCAGATCACCAGGTACCGGATTGCAGAACAGCGGATCGCCAGGAACAGAGAAACCTACCAGCCGGGAGTCTCCAGGAGGATCCCACCCCACCCATCACTCTCCACCGGAGCGGAGAGGCTCCATCCCGCCAAAGCCGCCCGGCACCAGCAGCGCCACAAAGGGACCTGTCGCAATCGCAACGACCCGGCGGGGGGCCGCCCAACCCAGCCCGCAACCACCCCAACTGAACTCGGACTGCAACAACAACTGACGGACTGCAACAACAACTGACGACCTACAGGGTGAGTACCCATCAGGGGACAGGGAATCCATCAAGGGAGACCAGAGCTGGAGGGAATCCCCAGACCCTGACCTAGACTCCCTACCCCAACACCCGGACCACAGGACCCACTAAAACTGGGAACTGTTCGAGAGCCCCACCAGCCGGTGGAGCACACTCTGCTGGCCAGGCCAGAGCAAGAGCGCCCCGGGAAGGGAGCTTAAATGCTCAAGCCAGGAACAGTGCCCCTGGGTCAAGACTACCAACAGTAGAAGAAATTTGAACTGTGTCCTCCAGGCTGCATAACCAAGGTGGTATACACATTAGCACAGGCCTAACGAGCGCGCTCCAGGCTGGGGCCGGAACCAGGCCAGGGGACCGGCGCCTGAACAAAGCAAAAAGGGTCAGAAGTGGGGCTGTGGCTCAAATGGTAGGGTGCCAGCCCTGAGCTGAAGAGCTGAGGGACAGCACCCAAACCTAGAGTTCAAGCCCACAACCAGCCCAAAACAAACAAAAACACATCAGGAGCCCATAGCAGACTCCAGTATTTGGGAGAGTGCATCCAGAGCATCTGATCTTCCCAAGAGCACCCGCAGGAGCAAACACAAGCAGTCTAGGCTGCTCAACCCTTCCAAAGGCGGGAATTGCTACAGCAGAGAGCTGAGAATCCTAAGTGAATAGCAGCTGGAAATAGGCTCCCAACAGAATCCAGATCAGACACAGACTCTCTCTACCAATAGAGAATCAGCAACCAAGCAAAGACAGACACACCAAAACAAGATTGAAGAGCAGTCTCCTGAACCCCCATGCGAAAATCACAGAGAAAAATCACAAGGTTTACCACTACCCAGGACAGCAAGCTCACCTCAAAAGCCAGCAGCCACGCAGGGGAGAGCCCCAGTGGGAGCAAAGCAGGAATGGAAGACAAAAACTACATCCAAGGGTTGCTGGAGGCAATGACTCAAGAAATAAAGCGAGAAATGGATCAGAAATTGAAAGAGCACAAGGATGAACTATCAAAAGATATACAGGATATCAAACAAAAATTGGATGCAAAAATAGAAGCTGCACAAACCTCAGTAAGAAGTGAGATAAACGCCAAATTAGAGGTAATGCATACTGATATCACCTCATTGAGAGGTGAGATCAGTACTCTGAGAACCAACATTGAATCCATAAAGGGATCCATTTCCATCATGCAAACCACAATAGAAGCCACGGTCAACAGAGTGAATGAAATGGAAGGTAGAGTGTCAGATACAGAAGACAGAATACACCAACTGGACCAAAAAGTGACAGATATGGAAAAATCACTCAAATTAAACCAAAGGGAAATTCAAGAGCAAGCAGATAATGCTAAAAAATTTAACCTTCGCATAATCGGAGTGGACGAAGGTGAGGAATTCCAGAGCAAGGGAATGCAACACCTATTTAACAAGATAGTCAATGAAAATTTTCCCCACCTCAAAAACGACCATCTTAACTACATCACAAAAGCTTATCGAACACCCAACAAGCAAGATCCCAGGAGAAACACTTCTAGGCACATAATAGTAACAATGATGGATCTGAATAATAAGGAAACAATCCTGCATGCAGCAAAAATGAAGAAGGAGCTATACTACAACGGGAAAAAAATTAGAATCACTGCAGATCTCTCCACACAAACAATGAATGCAAGAAAAGCCTGGGAAAGCACCATACGAGCCCTGAGAGCCAATAACTGCCAACCCAGACTGATATACCCGGCAAAGCTAGCATTCACATTCGATGGAGAACTGAAAACTTTTAATAGCAAAGAAAAACTAAATGAATACATAAACATTAAGCCAGCATTACAAAGAATTCTAAGAGGGGGGACACAACCTGAAGAAAGCAACCAGGAACTGGGACCTGCCCCAAACAGGCATTACTCAAAGTCTAACTGAGCAAGCACAGGAGGAAAGGAAAGAAGAAAAACTTAGGAAAACGGAATGGCAGGGACAACAATGCATCTCTCTATACTTTCTCTTAATATAAATGGGCTGAATTCGCCAATTAAAAGAAAACGAACTGAGGACTGGATCAGAAAACAAGACCCATCCATCTGTTGCCTTCAGGAGACCCACCTCTCAGCCAAACATACAAACAAACTCAGAGTGAAGGGGTGGAAAAGGATCTACCAATCAAATTCCCCCAATAAGAAAGCAGGTGTAGCTATCCTGATATCTGACAAAATAAACTTTTCATTAAAATCAGTACAGAAAGACAAGGACGGACATTACATATTAATAAAGGGAACAATCCAAGAGGAGGATATAACCATCATCAACTTATATGCCCCAAATATCGGTGCACCCAGATATGTTAAACAAATGCTCTCAAACTTACAGAATAAAATAGATCCCAATACGATAATACTAGGAGACTTTAACACGCCACTCTCACCAAAGGACAGGTCTACCAACCAGAGGATTGGCAAAGAAGCTACCGAATTAAGTGAGGCCATACTTCAAGCGGAATTAACTGACATCTACCGAGTATTTCACCCTAAAACAACACAGTACACATTCTTCTCAGCAGCTCATGGAACTTTCTCCAAAATAGACCATATCATAGTTCATTCAAGGAACTTAAGCAAGTACAAAGGGATCGACATAATCCCCTGTATCCTATCTGACCACAGTGGAATCAAGCTAGCTCTCAATAACAAAGCATACCGCAGAAATTTCTCTAATACATGGAAATTGAACAGCACACTCCTTAACAAGGCCTGGGTAACAGAAGAGATCAGAGAAGAAATAAAGCATTTCCTAGAACTCAATGAAAATGAAAACACCTCACAAAGAAACTTGTGGGACACAGCAAAAGCAGTCCTGAGGGGCAAATTTATTGCCCTCAGTGCCCACATCAAGAGAATGGAGACAGACCAAGTAAATAATCTCATGTTGCAACTAAAACAGCTAGAAAAACAAGAAAAAATGGGACCTAAAGCTACTAGACGAAGCCAGATAACCAAATTGAGAGCAGAGATTAACCAATTAGAAAATCAGAAAACCATAACCAAAATAAACCAAACAAAAAGCTGGTTCTTTGAAAAAATAAACAAAATTGATGGCCCGTTGGCAAGATTAATTAAAAAAAGAAGAGAGGAAACCCATATTAATAGGATTAGGGATGCCACGGGAAACATCACAACACGTACCCAAGATATCCAAACAATTCTAACAGACTACTTTCAAAAGCTATACTCTCTAAAGGAAGAAAATCTGGCGGAAATGGATGCATTTTTAGAGAAATACAAGTTACCCAAACTGAGCAAAGAAGAAGTTAACCAATTAAATAAGCCAATATCCTATAATGAGATACAGGAAGCTATCAAAAGTCTTCCAACAAAAAAAAGCCCAGGACCAGATGGATTCACAGCAGAATTCTATAAGACCTTTAAAGAAGAACTAATACCCATACTCCTCAAGCTCTTCAGAGAAACAGAGAAGGAGGGAGCTATCCCAAACTCATTCTACGAAGCCAATATCACACTCATCCCCAAACCAGGCAAAGACCCAACCAAAAAGGAGAATTACAGGCCAATCTCCTTGATGAACACAGATGCAAAGATCCTTAACAAGATTCTAGCTAACAGAATCCAGAAACACATAAAAAAAATAATACACTATGATCAGGTAGGCTTCATCCCAGAGACACAGGGATGGTTTAACATACGTAAGTCAATAAATGTAATCCAGCATATCAACAGAGCCAAGGTCAAGAATCACATGATTATCGCCACAGATGCAGAAAAGGCCTTTGATAAAATTCAACATTCATTCATGCTAAAAGCTCTGGAGAAAATAGGAATAGAAGGAACATTTCTAAAAACAATAAAAGCCATTTATGACAGACCAATAGCCAATATTATACTTAATGGGGAAAAGCTACAACCAATCCTCCTAAAAACAGGAACAAGGCAAGGATGTCCACTGTCTCCACTCCTCTTCAACATAGTCCTAGAACCCTTAGCCAGGGCAATAAGGCAAGAAAAAGACATTAAAGGGATCCGCATAGGGAAAGAAGAAGTGAAACTATCCCTTTTTGCAGACGACATGATACTATACCTCCACGATCCCAAAAACTCCATCCCCAAACTTTTAGAAATCATAAGTCACTTCGGCAAAATAGCAGGATACAAAATAAACCCACAAAAATCAGTTGCCTTCCTATACACTGATAACGCACAGGAAGAGAGGGAAATAAAGGGAGCAACCCCATTCACAATAACCTCCCAAAAAATAAAATATTTAGGAATTAACCTAACCAAAGATGTAAAAGAACTATTTAATGAGAACTATAAAAAGTTAAAGAAAGAAATTGCAGAAGACACTAGGAAATGGAAAGACCTCCCATGCTCCTGGATAGGCCGACTTAATATAGTAAAGATGGTGATACTTCCAAAATTAATATACAAATTCAATGCAATTCCTATTAAAATCCCAATGACGTACATCACTGAAATACAGAAAACAGTCCAAAAATTTATATGGAACAACAAAAGACCTAGAATAGCCAAAACAATTCTAGGGGATAAAGACAATATGGGAGGGCTATCCATGCCGAACTTCAAACTCTACTACAGAGCTATAATCACAAAGACAGCATGGTACTGGCACAAAAACAGACCCGAAGACCAATGGAACAGAATAGAAGATCCAGATATAAATCCACAGGCCTACAGCCAGCTGATATTCGACAAAGGAGCCAAAGACATACAATGGAAGAAACACAGCCTCTTCAACCGCTGGTGCTGGGAAAACTGGGCAGCCACATGCAGAAAACTAAAAGTGGACCCCAGCCTATCACCATGCACCAACATCAACTCAAAATGGATTAAAGACCTTAACATTAAACCTGAATCTCTGAAACTACTGCAGGACAGAGTAGGAGAGACACTTGAACTAATAGGCACAGGAAGGAACTTCCTGAACAGA